AAATAATACCTTTTTTTTACTTATGATATTTAGTCATGAATGTTATAATGAAAAGTTTTCAGAAGCTTTAAGGTAAATAAACAATTTTAAAATGATACAAAAAAAATGGATTATCTGAAAAATGCTAAAAACTGAAAACTGGGATGTTTCTATTTCTTAGCTCATGCAGACATTCCACTAAGATTTGTAATCATGTTTTTCACTTGGCAGTCAGTCCAGTAGCTATTGCTGAAAATGAGAATGGTGTAAATACTGTATGTCAATGGTGAAAATATATCAAATCACAGATTTATCATTCCTTGACACACAGCCCTCGTGAAAACCTATTCACATGTTTTTGACCAACATTAAAAAAACATTGACACAAAACCTCTTGACATGCGTAGTAAAACAAGGTGAGATAAGGTCAGAGTTCAGGATCAGCTCCAACACAGGTGCTACTAGAGCTGCTGGGTAATCACTGTCATGTTCAAGGACGTTTAAGCAGGACATATGGGATTTGCACTTGTGTCCTTTGGTCAAGCAGTAGTCTCCAAACTCATTACATTCGCCCTCAGTCAGGTTAACAAACAGCCCTGTTCTACGGCTCACTTGGGACCACACAACGTGATTTAAAGGCTGATTATGGATTATGACCCTGATTTGGCATTGTTTTATGGAGAGTCTGCACTTACGTGCAAAACTCAGCAGAGCAGCATGGACAATTGGCTAAAATTGTTCTGCAGTTTAGGCTGGTAACAAGCAGAAATCACCATTCTGCAAGTCAGTTCAATGTGTGATTCACAGCCTTTTCACAGTTGGATAGGTTACTCCTGAAAATCATTTCTTCACAACATTCTGTCCATGTCCACTCCTCTGATCTCAAGGGCATCTTTGTAAAAATAACACGTGCAGTTCTTTAAAAAAAAAAAACTTGATTCATGCTGGATATTTCAAAACATACAGTGTTTTGCAGAGGATTTAAGACATGAAAACAACAGCTGCTGAAATAAACAACAATTATTAAAAGACAGAAAGCCAAAAGCAACAAAAAGTCCCCAACATTAAATCAAATCCTTTCATAAATGAGTGTTTGTAGTAAAAACAAAGGTAATGGTAACCAATCTGAGCTCTGCAGGGTGTCTGTGTGTGTGTGTTAGTAGAGATGTCCTCTCCATGTAAGACTACAACATTAATGTCCTTGAAAGGTTTCAGTGTGTCACTTCCACTCGGTTAGCGACTCTGTAAAGGTAGCTGGGTACCAACAGATGCCCAATTTAAAGCCCCCCATTTATCCACAGTAAAAGGTAATGCGGTGAGGTTAATGAGAGCCAACTGCAATGCCACACACAATTAGCTCTCTGTAGTAAGTCCACAACACCAGTGGCTGGCATGATTGCACACAGCTGTTCCCATTTAACCTATATATGAGAAAGCTTTTCACCGCTGCTTAATGCACTGGAGTTTATTCATTCATACAGAAATTACTTCTGAAGATATTCAGCCGTGATAGTGAGCCTAAGGATGAAAACGACTACGGGATTTTAATTCCACTGGAGCTGTTAAGCTTCTGCAATATTGAATTTTTCACTTTCACAGGTGTGGAAATGAAAAATAGATTAAAAACACTGGTGGTGTTGCTGCTGCTGGCCAGTCGGTCACTCTGGAAATGTTTGTGTATATTTTTAATTTAAACAGATTTATTACTCAGTCTGGCCCACAGACACATCAACTTGTGTGTGTTTAAGGCCACTGACAGAGTCATTTCAGTCATTTGTGCTTGTCTCTCTCCATTTGGGAAATAAATCATGTTATTACTTCATTTTCAAGCTCATTGTTGGCGCATTGTTGCATATAGATTTACATCTTTGAATTATCTCAACAATGGCTACCACATGGATTACTGTGACGGAAAATAAACTTCATTTGCAGCCAGGCCAAATTTACAACATGTTTATAAGGAGCATTTGGGTGTTAACTCGTGTGCCATCTTACACGTATATTCAAATATTAATCTCTAAATATGTATTCTCAGTTAAAGTTGAAATAATATATGTACATTATAAAAACATCCTAATACTTTATTCGGTTTCAAGCTGGAGAGCATTTGCTTTATTGCAAATATTCATTTCCCCAGCTCACTGCACAAATCTTAATTAACATTTATATTATATTAGCTCAGGGGGGCATGATGAGCATATTTTCCTCGTCTGATTTGAAAAATATTTAAATGAATCTGCATGTGTAATGTCAACAATCTGAACGTTAACCTGCAAAAGCAGAAAGAAGGGTGAAGATTTTCATCTCTGCAGAGGCTTTAATGAAATCAGTAGAATTTACGACAGCAGTGAAGGATGAGGTGTTGCAATGCCATTAAGCTCGGTTAGAGGCTAGCAGGCTGATATTAGCCTTCAGCGCCTCATGGTGGATAATATCAGCCTTTTTGGACAGTGTGAAATATATAGTTTACCGGTATCTTAGTTGATTTATCAGTGTCCAATTACAAAGTCAAATAGTTGTAACAATTATTCTAACCTTACATGAACATTTACAGTATGTATATACGGTGCTTTGATTTGGAATGAAAGCATTTAGATGGTGGAGCACATCTTCCACAAATTGTTTTATTGTCAGTGCAATTTTATGCCTATTGGATGATAATATATTGATTTAGGAGCGGGGAAGAACAATCAGTCCTCCTGTCCCCGAGCAGCGAAAGTCATCAGGTTCTTGAGATGACATCCATCATTGGGTAATTTAAGATTGAAAACATGTCACTGTGATGTATAGCAAAGGTGGAGCTGAGAGCAGGTTGCGTCATGAAGGTTGATTCAGTTAACTCTCAGTCAGAAATAGACATGCTGTATTTGTGGTTTGGATTTGCAGTTTCAGCAGAAATGAAACGCAAGAACTGAAAAGACAAGATGAAAACCTAAAAGTCTATTGATCCTTGTGCAGAAATTGGAAGAGCGGAAGTGGCATCACTTTAAGAAAATAGAATACAATCACAGGAATAGAATATAAAGTAGTAGTAGTAGTGTAAAGGTAAGGTTTGGTTAGGTTTAGGAAAAGATAATGGTATGGTATTGCTGGATAAAAGTACGATTTCTGACCCACCCGTCCACCCCAACCACACCCTTACTCTGACTTTTCTGTTATTTATACTAGCCCTACTTTTAGCGTTCAACATTGGTGCTAAAGAGGTACCCAGTGCGTTGAACATTGACGCTAAAGGGCTGGCCAATACGTTAAAAACAGACGTGAAGGCGTACTGACTAAGCGTCCAAATGTGACTGCTTGGGAGTGAGAACGGGTTGTGATTATGGCTACCCAAATCTACATTTACATCTACTTATTTAGCTGATGCTTTTTTACAAAGCGACTTACAATTGCTATATACATCAGTGGTCTCAAGCCCCAGGAACAACCCCATATCTAAGTCCAATATTCACTCTTCCTTTAGCACTGTGTTGCTAACGCTCCAGTGTCTTCACCAGCTAGTTGCGAACTTTGTCTGTTTGTCCAAGGAAGGTTAAAGTCAATAGCAACTGGACTTGGTTGAAGATACTTGAAGACGTTTCGGCCATCGTCCGACAGACTTCTTCAGTTCTATCTGACTGGTAGGGGAACTCGACTGTTTAACCTCTGTGTGGTCGTTTGTCAAGACGATTGATATCGCTGGTTCATTAGTGCTCCTGGCTGTTGTAATAACAGCCGTTATGGTTGTTGGAGTTACCCAAGGCCAAGTTTGTCTGTCTGCCATTCTGTGCTGGACAGGTGGCATACGATAGGTTTACAGAGCTTTTTCACTGAAAAACAAAGTTGATGAGAGCGGTGAGAGAGAACCAGAACAATGATGTTGCATAGTGCAGCTTTAAACATAGCAGAATTAGAATATGTTACTGTATCTATGTTTACAGTACAACATAGTGGAATTATCATTAAAATGCAACACAGAATGTAAAACTAAAGAACTAAAAGAGGAGAAACTTAAATAAAAGGACAAACAATTAGTACAAAAAGTGGAAAGAGGATGAAACACATCTCCCCATGCAGTGGAAGATCTGACTGCTGGAAACAAGAAGGGAGTAATCCTCATTACCTATGCAGCTGTGTGGGCTGAGTTATCCCTTCAGTTCTGCACTAATTGCTCTGAATCAATAAAACTGTATAATCCAAAGAAAAAGTTCTCAGTCACATTCAGGGCATCATGACCTTGGGAGCCCCTTACGTGCGAGAGACATGTGCATTTATCTGTGTTTTATGCTTTCTAGAAGCAAAAACGCTAAAAATCACTGATTTGAGGGTGAGAGAGAGAGAAAGAGGGGGTGAGACAGGCAGGCAGACAGAGAGAGAAAAAAGGAGAGGATACATTTGAGTGATATCTTTTGAAGCAGTGGGGTTTTGCTACATGCCTCAAGGTGTCACTTCATAATTGAATCCCCTCCTTTGTACTGCGGTGAAGCCGAGGAGGCTCGAGGACAGCCCGAGGACGGCGACGTGAACACCTCCAGGGCCCGCAGGCCACCGTTTCCACCGCTGATAACACTGGAAATGAGCAGTATCACCACCTGATAACTCTCCATGGAGACAGTGTCCTAATGAAAAAAAAGCTATTATGCATCTCAATGGGGAAATGACAACAAAGCACAGAGAATTGTCACATTATAATTATGAGCAGTGAATGGGTAGAAGAGGAACCCTTCATGTTTCATGACTGAGTCTGCTCCTGCTGCAATTACGCTTTCGAGAGGCCGCTGTCCATTCATGCACAGCCACAAATTATTGTCATTTAGTCCCAACTGTCAAAATGATCATTCATATTGTGACAAAACTTTCAAAAAAGTGAGAAAGGTTTTAGAAAGGAAGGATTGACTGTGAGTTCAGCACTTAATAATTTTGTGTTTAGAGGTACTAGGACATTTTACGTAAGTAAAAGAAACAATATCAAAATGTAAAAACAAACCATTATTATTAAGTGAAATTATTAAGTGAAAAGTAAAAGTATTCTCAGCTACATATACTTAAAGTTTTTTTAATAAGTAAAAGCATTCTTTATGCAGGAAAATTGTATATTGTATTATTATATATTATTGGATTAATAGTAGGATTTTACTGTTAAAACTGTCATATACAATTACTGAACGTTGTGCAGTCCGGTGGTTCCCTTCTAAGGATTCATGAGATGAATAATGGGCTAGGAAAGAACATAAAACTAAGTTCTTTGTCACAAATTTGCATTCATGTTTTTGACTTTTTCTTCTAATATTTGCCTTTTTTTAAGAAATATTGGAGGATTTTACCTCTTTTTACAAATCTTAAATAACATAAAAAGTACAATATTTCCTACTGAAATGTATGCAGTACAAGTATAAAGTAGAATCAAACAGAAATACTCTTTACAATTGTACTAAAAAAAATGCAGTAATTGAATAAATGCACTTTTGACTTTTCTTCAGCGCATAATATATCGCACATACCAAAGCTGCAAATCACAAAGAAGCAATCTTACAATCTTATCTGGACTGCCAAGGTTAGTCGTACATAGCCGATGAATGATTCACTACTTTACTGTACTAGTTGTGAATGTTCATCATGCTTCTCCAGCCTTCTCCGGGCGAAGAAGAAAGAAGAAATGAATTTTCCTTGATCCATTCTTGCCTCATTCCAAGGCCAAATTGGCTATTGATCAACGTCTCTTTGTCTATTAAGGCAGAGTCTTGCATGCCAAAATTGGTCACCACCGTGACGGCTGCCCATATCTCAATGCTGATTGATTCCTTGGATGCTGTGGCCAGCCGGGCCAAACCAAGGTTGATGGGAGAGGGGATGAGGATGATTGTCTGAGGTTGCCGTCAGGTTGGCAGTCAATGCACATGATCAGTAGAGCAGGAATCCACATAGGCCGATGCTTTTGCCTCGTTTCTTTGGCTCGACGTTACCCACACCCCTCTGTGCTTCGGTTGAAAAGGAAATGGATACAAAGAGAAAGGTTATTCCATTCATCCGTTTGGAGGGACTTGATGCAATCAATACTGGCAGAGTGGAATGACAGAGCAGCGGCTAAGGCAGTGCAAGGACATAGACTGTGGTATTGTAAAAGGAAGCACAAAAAAAGAAAATCCCCCTACTGTGACCAGCTGAGAAAACAACAGTCGCTTTGATTGCTCTTTTCTCCGAAAGAGTTTTCAGCTGTGCCTTTTGGCTTTCACTGGTTTGAATGAGACTTGATTGATTTTCAAAAATCCCTCTGAACTATTTTTCACTGTTAAAATCCAACCACCGGACAAGTTCGGACATGTGATTGCAAGAACAGACATTTTCCGAAATAGAATACAACACATTGCCTTTCGAAACTAGCCTGGCTCCTCTAATTTAAGGTGAGGCTACAGTCTTAGCAGTGCTCACACTCAAGTTACAACAACAACACCCCGATTAATGGAAATGAGAAGAAAATTTATCTTATCCAGATATGTGATTGGTATTTTATTAATTTCCCAGATACAGAACCATGAAATGGAATTAGCTCATGTGTTTATTTGATATACCAAATGATTTCAGATAATGACATCAAACTTTCATCTCATCATTAAAATGTGATGTGTTTTTATCTGGCTGGTTAATTCAACAAGAATATAAAAAAAGAGGAGAATGCCTGGTAAGTCACGTACCCAGAAGCAGAATGTAACTAAGTACAATTTAAATTTAAATGTACCTTGCTTCTCCCATTTTATGCTACTTTATAGCCTACTTCTACTGCACTACATTTTACAGGGAAATATTGGGCTTTTTACTTTATTACATTTATTCGACAACTATACTGTTACTGCTACTTACTTAAAAAATGAAATACAAAATATAACATCATCTTAACACATTACTGTTTCAAAAAATACTTCAATCATATAATATACCACTAACGGGGAATTCTTCTACATAATAACTTATACTTTAAGTACATTTAAGTGCATTTAGTTGATCATACTTAAACCTGCATTAACTTATTTTTTTCAGTGGGCAGCAAGCTGTAAACACAAGACTGACATATCACGTTTTATAGTAAGTTGTATAGCAACCTGTTAGCAAACATGCCTTTTTACACATCCAGCAGACACGTAAGTACCACATCAGCATTCATTAACATCCATTTGGAGTTTTTCTGGCCACCTAATAAGTCCAATATTCACTCTTAGTTTGGCTCTTTTGTCTCCACCAACTCAAACACCAAATGGCTCTTTAGCAGCTAAATGCTCCATTATGTACACCAGCTAGTTGTTAACTTTGTCTGTCTGTGCTGGGCAGGCAGTGTGCAGTGAATTTGTGAGAGCTTTTTTACTGCTGCAGCTGGAAATGCTGGTGAGAGCAGTAACAGTGAACCAAAACAGTTCCCCTTCGAGGGAACTCGAACTGCGTCGGTGACAACAATATGGGAACGCTAGCTTCTTTCTATTCAGCAGGCACTCTGGCTATGTTTGGAAGCTCCATCATCCTACCTGAAGTCGAGACGAAGCAGATCATGTCGAAGCGATTCCGACAGTGTGTCTTTCCATGTGAGCGTTTCATCACAGAAGGTGATACCCATGGGATGTGCGTCTCACGCCTGGGGATGTCGCACGCCCAGGCAGCTCTCGAGGTGGCTGCCTGCGACCATTGCGAGGCCCTGCCCCTGTGGGTGCTGAGGTCTCGAGCAGCTCTTTTTCTAGAGGATGGTCGGATGTCGCTGAGGCGTCGCGGCGGCTCCGATCCTGGGGATCGCAACGCGAGATTGCCGAGGGTGCCGGAACGGCTGAGGCCTTTTTCCGGTCCTCGTCCGCGGAATCCTCCTCCCCTCGTCCCCGATCGGGAGCCCGCTTCTCGGTTTCTCCCACTCGAGGGGTGAGTCCGGAGAGGCTTGCACGATCTGGCTCTGAGGAGTGCACCATCGGTGCACCATCGGTGGGCAGCAAACTAGACGAGCGGTTTCTGCAACACCGAGCGCCACCCCCGCGTCGGCCCCTACCATTTTTTCCGGATCTACACAACAAGTTGTGTAGATTGTGGAACAAACCCTTCTCTGCACGGCTGTCTACGTCCCCCCGGCTGGACTACGGCAACGTGACGGAGATCAGACAGCACGGCTACGGAGCAATGCCACGAGTGGAGGAGGCGCTGGCTAGCTACCTCTCTCCCAATCTCGCCCACAGCCCCCCCGGAAGACGAATCTGAGGACCATCATTCAGTCTCGGCGGGCCCGGGGGGAGAGGTCCTGAGACTTTGAGTAGTATGTCATCCTCGCCCACCTTCAGCGTTTGGGGCTGCGGCTCAACGCGAAGAGCGTGCTGACACCCGCCCAACAGACTATGTTCCTAGGGGTGGTGTGGGACTCAACGATGATGCGGGCCCACCTGTCTCCCGCGCATCGAATCCATTTTGTCCACAGTGACTGGAGTGCAGTTAGGCCGCGCCATCACTGTAAAACACTTTCAGAGGGTGTTGGGTCTCCTGGCAGCAGCGTCCAGTATAATACCTTCTGGGCTACTGCACATGAGAGCCCTGCAGTGGTGGCTAAAATCCAAGGGATTCCCCCCGAGGGGAAATTCGCTCCGTCTGATACGGGTTACGAGCGGGTGCCTTCGTTCCCTGTCTGTATGGAGGAAATCTTGGTTTCTGTCCCGTGTTGGGAGCGATCTGTCTCCGAACAATTATTTCGACAGATGCCTCACTCACGGGATGGGGCGCAGTCATGGACGGCCGCTTCACGAGAGGCTCCTGGGAGGAGCATCATTCCTCTTGGCACATAAATTGCCTGGAAATGTTGGCGGTTTTCAGAGCTCTGAGGAGTTTTCTGCCCGCCTTCCGCAGTCGCCACATCCTTCATACATTCGTCAGAACCGACAATACAGCAGTGGTGGCCTATTTGAATCACCAGGGGGGTCTGCGCTCGCGCCCATTATGCAAACTGCCACATCAGATCCTCCTGTGGTCCCAGCAGAGACTGCTGTCCCTCAGAGCGATGTACATCCCTGGGACCCAGAATCAAGGAGCAGACCTGCTGTCGAGACAGGGGCTGAGGCCCGGGGATGGGGACTTCACCCCGAGGTGGTGGAATTATATAATTATATTAAGAGTTCGGCCCCATAGACGTGGCGTCCCGAGAGACGGCGCACTGTGCCCTGTGGTTCTCCCTCTCGCCCCCAGCCTACGCTAGGGTTGGATGCCATGGTGCAGATGTGGCCGAGGCTGCATCTGTATGCGTTTCCCCCAGTCGCTCTGCTCCCGGGTGTTCTGGAGCGGGTCTGCCAGGACATCGTCAGTCTACTACTAGTAGCCCCGTTTTGGCTGGCACGAGTGTGGTTCTTGGGTTTAATATCGCTCCTCGAGGGCCCGCCCTGGCAGGTCCCTCTGAGGAGAGACCTGCTGTCCCAGGCGGAGGGCCGGATCTTTCACCCGCACCCCGCCCTGTGGCAGCTATGGGTCTCAGTTCCTAGAGGCAGGCCTGACGACAGGAGCAGTCGAGACGCTGCTCAGCTCCAGAGCCCCGTCCACGAGAAGGATGTACGGCCTAAAGTGGAATGTGCTCACTACCTGGTGCAGAGAACGGGCGGTGGACCCAGTTACCTGCTCGGTAATTGTGATACTGGAGTTCCTCCAGCACCGTTTCTCCGCTGGCCTCTCCCCGTCCACGCTCAAAGTGTATGTGGCTGCCATTGCAGGAGGAAAGCAGACCAGCTGCTGGTGTGTTTCGGGTCCCCCAAGGCTGGGCTCCCCGCTTCCAAACTCACCATCAGCAACTGGATCGTTCAGACTATTTCCCTGGCCTATCAGGTGCGCAGTTTGCCTTCACCTATGGCCGTAAGGGCGCACTCTACTTGAGGCATGGTGGCTTCTAGGGTCCTCCTCGCAGGGGCGTCACTCCAGGATTTGTGTGACGCGGCTGGCTGGGCCACCCCTCACACTTTTATCCGGTTTTACAGTCTGGACCTTCCTTCTGCACCCGGCACCCGTGCACTCTCCTCCTAGTCGTGCCGTCAGGTTCTGCACGCTGGGGGCAGGCGGGGTTTCGGCGCAGCCTAAGTGGGTATCTCGTTCCCTCAAAGGGGAACGTCTCGGGTTACGTATGTATACGTACGTATATTCCCCGAGAAGGGGAAGAAGACACAGCATCGGTCCGCCACACCTCACCCCGCCTGGAGTGCCTTGCTTCATAGAAAGGGCTAATGTGTCCCATGTGCCGGCGTGCTTATATACCCCCTCCGGTTACGCCGTCACACACTACCGTTCTAGTAACATCAATAGGATTGGAGTAGTTTCATTCATAATTCAGCCCTGCCACGCACAGAGGCGTTCCCATATTGTCGTCACCAACGCAGTGTCTTACATACGTAACCCGAGACATTTGTTTGCAGGCTGCTAAACTATAACAATGAGCTGAAAGATGCTAAACCCTCAACTGCATAATTTTGTGATAGTTACCTGTGGGTTCATCACTATGGGTAACACATTAAGCGTAGCCATTTTGTCGCTGTTTGTTAATATAAAAATATTGATTAGTGCCTAGCTGTTGTGTTAGTGTGGGCTTGGTCTTCTGCATTTCATATTTTCTGTTGAGCTATTATGATGAAACATGCAATTTTGTGAAACAAAGAGTTTCTCTTCATTTAAAATGTGGTTTTTTTTCTTCCAAATAGGCTGTACATAAACTGCACCAAAAACATCAAAGTTCCAGAGCAATTAGATAGCTGTCATTGGGAAATAGAGCAATGTAGCCTTGCTCTCTCAGAACACACAAGGCCAAAAGAAAGTGTTATAGAGTATTGAGGGGGAAAACATATGTTCATCAAGACTTTGTTTTGCATCTAGTAAATTCTTGAGGTTCAGAATTCATCATTAAGAACATTAATCAGCAAAAATACTTTCAGAGAGGCTAAGTGCTTTGAAAAAACTCTGCCAACAGAGTGCTGCCAAAATCTAGCTCTTG